GCAGCTTCTGTATCCTCTCATCTTTGAAGTTTTGTAAAATGGTGGGAGTGTGGGATTCCTTTAAGAGTTTTATTTTTGGTAAATATCTAAGCCAGCAGTTCTTTGGGATTCTTGGGTCTCTTGTGCTGCAGGCTTGAGTCCTGCACTTTTAGAAGGGGACAGAAGCATTTGTAGTGGAAGTAGTAGCTAATGTTTAGATCCATGTTTTAATGGGTGGTTAAGCCAAACATTGCCTCTGTACGCTGTTCTGCTCCTTCAGCAGCTGCCTCTGCCCCATGACATGCTCATGGCAGAACCACTGCTGCGTTGCAGGGTGCCCAAGTCTGGGCCAGAGCAGGACTTCAAGAACTGCTGTAAAATGTGCAGAGCTGGAGAGTTACTTACCTGCACCTTTGTTTTACTCCTTGCCTGCCTGCCTGCAGTCCCACCAGCTGAGTTTCTTGGAAGTTCTCTACAGTTCTAGTGGCTGGAAGCTGAGGCAGAACCAGAGTTGAGGAGCATCACGACTCTGCAGAAGAGACACTGGTCTCCTCAAGGCTCCTGGTAAGTAAGTTAGTGATCGCAGTTGCTCAGTTGCAAGCTTTTAACCTCTTGAGGTTTCTGTTTTAAGGGGCGCCTCAATGGCTAGAAGCAGGTATCCCTAGTGCTGATCACCAAGAGAACTTAAAGCTATGGCAGCTGCTCCTGAAGAAATGAGGCTCATTTTAAGAAGCTCAAGGGGATGTGGCAGCCTGTAGAATGGAGCTGAGCATCTTATAATGATGAGCACTGTAAAAACAAGGGGGTTTTGCAGAGAGATTGACATAGGGATGATGTAGCAGGGAGTGTGCAGTTGAGTGCTAGGAGGACAGAAGAGCAGCAGCTGACAGTAGCAGGGACTACACTGCTGGAACAGGGGCTTGGGCAGCACCTCTGTGGCACAATGTGCATGTTTGTTCCATGCTCTTCTCTCCTTGAAGGGCAGGGGACTAAACCAGTGGCTGGTGCAGGGTCTGCACCATGGTGGAGCAGTGACTCAGGGAGAACAAAGCCTTTCCTGCACTGGAGAGCTGAGCTGTGGGTGCCACAGCTGTCAGGAGGCTGCATGGGGTCTGCAGGAGAAGAGGCTGTACTGCCTGCAGGTTCTTGGAAGCTCACTGCTAGCTGCACACCTGGAGGAACATTGCTATGGCTTTCAAGAAAAAGCCTGTTCCTATCAGGAATGACGGTGAGATATTCCCTGGCCTAACCTTGCTGTGAGGAGAGGAGCAAGTGTGTTCTGGTGTGGAACTGGCAGAGAAATTTCTTGTGGTCTTTCTTGGGCTTCAAGCATAGTATCTGTTAAAACTTTAATGCAAGTTATTTTTGGTGTTAAAGGGGAAAAACAGCATGGGTGCAAAGATGTGCTAACAGGTGTTGGGAGGTGGCAGGGCTGGGCATCTTGTGTCTTGGCAACATCAGTTGTCAGACCCCAGTGAAAGCAGCTGCTGCCCACTGCAGGGTGGCTCTGCAGTGGTGAAGGCTGGGCATGCAGCATGATGTAAATTTGTTACTTGTGATTTTGGTCCAGCAAGGGAAAGCTGCGGATGTCACTTGTCTTTAACAGGGCTTGGGATGTCCTTAAAGCAAGTGGTGCCTGTTGGGGCTAGGGACACACCACTGAGGAACCTCTGTCCCTCTGTGGAGGTGTCATCGCCTCTGCATTTCCAAGGTGATGAAGGCTCTGCTCACAATTGCTGGGATTCAGCTGCCTGCAGGTGACAGAGCTAATTGGGTTTGGTTTGTCAGAAACACAAGAGTAGCAGAGGCTGGATTGATCTGGGGCAAGCAGAGTCTCGAAAACCCAAGAAGCATGAAGCAGAGCTTTGTCTTCAAGCTCACATGTATCTGACAACTGGGTATAGTGTTTGCTGAGACCTTCTGGGACAGCAGTGTCCCTGCCCACACTTTCTAGGGTGTTTCATTTCAAGGACATCTGTTAATAATCCTCCAGGCAAATGGGTGGAGGAGGATGCAGTATACACAAAGTTTCTGGCCTTAGAGTAGCTGCTTTGGTGGGAAAGGGACCACCTGCAGCTGCTGGGTATGGGAAGACTGGAGAGATGTCTGAAAATGGAGCAGGCTGAGACTGGCTTGTAAAAGCTAAACTGTCCTCACAAGGGTATTTAGTTAATAACTAAATAAATAGAGCCCATCATGCCCTCGGGCTGCTGGAGGGCACTAGCAAAACCTTGCCACTGCCAGAGCAAAGGAAGGTTTACATCCCCCTAAATTATGAAGCATTGAGTGAGCTAGTGGAGCTGTTAATGGAGGGAAGAGCAGGGGGCATTAGCTGGCTTGTTGGCAGATGAGAAAATAGGGCATGTACCTGTCAGGTGAGACTTCCCCAGAGCCAAACAGCTCAACACACTCTGTCTCCTAAAACAGCATTATGTCCAGAATAGTCAGGCAAAGGATGGATTTTTCAGATCTGGCAGCCAAACAGCCAAGCACGTGTTCCAAACTGAGAGGGAGAGGCTGGTGTCCTTGGGG